TAAAGTAATGCCAGTGTATACAGGTTTCTATTAACCAAGAGTTAATATTAAGCATAAAATTCATATAGAAGGATTAATAAAAAGATTCAGGTCGGTGTATATATGATGATATGGAAACATCTTCAAAATATATTATCAATTGAAAAAAGAAGAAATGCAATGGTGTGTGTAGTATGCTTCCATTTTGTAAAAAAAATACAAGTGGCTATCTATATAAAAGCCTAAGCGACCTTTACGACTGTGATTGACAAGCAGCAGTAGCTATGACGTGCACTGACCCAGACCTTGCTGCTGGGGCCCTGACAGCCCCGAATCTGGTTCACCCGCATCCCAGACCCAGACAGGAGGGAGGAGGGAGCCTGATTCCTCACTGAATGGGCCTTGCCTTAGCTAGCTGCTGGGGCCCTGACAGCCCCAAATCTGGTTCACCCCTACCCCGGACCCAGACAGGAGGGAGGAGGGAGCCCAATTCCTCACGGAATCAGCCGTTGGTTAGCTTGCTGCTGGGGCCAACCTCCGCGGTCCCTCCCCACAGCCAGCCAGCCCCCCCAATTGGCCCCAATCACCGGCCAGGCCAAGGGACTCCACCCGTGCATGAATTCATGCACCAGACCTCTAATATATGTAATATGCAAAATCCAGAAACTGGCAAGAGTAGTACCTGTAGGAGGAAGTTTCTTCAAATAATGACATATGAAATATCCTCTTACAACCAGAGATATACAAGGGGACACAGAGCTGCCTACCTCTTCAAGCATCACGATGGAGTCTCGGAGCACTCCTTTTAAGCGATGGGCCTGATCGTTATGCTTTTGATTGTTTTCTGCTCTTGACACCATGTCAGAGGCTAAACTGAAAGAAAAAGACCATTTAAAAATCAGGGGAATAGCTGCTAATCTTTTATTTCTAGAAATCACTAGTGCTCCATAAATTTACAAACAAAACAAGAAATTAAGGAACAAAAACAGCGTGACTACAGAAAAGTTAGCAGGCCAAAATCTCTAAAACGGGAATTGTGTTTTACATTAAGGAATTATTGAAATAATAACAGGTTGGAGGGAGGAAAAACTTACTTTAAAGATTTCTCTTCTTGGAGGTGGAGACGGTAAACAGCCTGAGCAGCATATTCTATCCTTGACAGCTTCATAAACAGTGTCACATTCAACAAAACCAGGAACAGCAAGCTGAGCAGAGCAAAGCATACCTGGTCAATCCCCTCTTATCCAGACCTAGAGCACTGCTAATGCAGAGAAAACATGCCAAGCCTTCAAAGATGTACATTACCCAACCAATTTCCAATTATTGTTAGTATTTAAATCAGTTATCCCTATTACGTAACATCATTACTTTTAAGTATGAAATGGACACTGAGAAAAAAGAAAGTAACTGGAATGACAATAGTCCCTGACATCTCTCTGTGCTGAGGTGTGACCCCCAGCTTAGACCTCTACCAGGCAAGCTTTCAATATTGGTTTTTGGGTGCTTTTTGGCTTAAGCAGTTATAAGCCCATAATGCTATACTTCAAACAGAAAATGAAGATCAATATGGACTAATCTTAGGTAGATCATGATGTACCTGTTATTCACAGTGGAAACCAAAATAAATTTTTAAAAATAACCATTCAGCAAAAATTTCCACAAGTTCAACTTGGACAAAGAAAGTATCATATCTGAAATATATACTAATTGTATCAGATATAAAATGTTACATGCTACATGAACTTACTCTGTTGGTTCTCACAGCAGCCTTTCAAGTAAATGGATATATTTCTTATTACACATATATGCAAATATATAGGTAGCATATCTCACTTTTTTCTGTTAAAATTGATTTGCCCTTAAAAATATACAGTATTCTCCTTTATCCATCCAGAAGAGGATATTTTTTTAAAATGAAAACTAATGTAGTAGCAAGAAAATCAAATTATGAAATTATTATGGCACTGAAATGATACATAGATGAACATTTCAACATTTTGAGTATAAACTTTCTGCAAAGTAATAATACAAAAGACCATTAATAATATTTACTATTCACAACTGTCATGGCAAACTGACTTAACCAGAATATGAAAACCTTTTTAT